CGCGTGTCTCTTGTTTTAAGTAATGCAATATTGCCGATAAATCATTGTTTCTTATTTAGGGCAACTGCTTGTTTCCCTTAATATACAGGTTTTTCATTTTACTCAAAATATTTCAGCTTTCAAATTTGCTCCGGGAATCCGAAGAAAAATTTCATTTGATCCACGTAGAAACATCTTTCGATATCTTATTGAATCGATATATTAATGCGTATTGTATTTTTGACATTACAAACGGGAACGATATAGACAAAGAAACGTATATGTCAAAGTTGGTGTCATTGTCAGCGAAATATAAGAACGATGTGAAAGTTGTTGATTTCAAGGGCGATGGTAAGTAGCTTTTCTTTCCCTTGTTTGTTTTCATTTTACTTCCTTTTTAATAAATATCTACCAAGATAAAATCTTCAAAAAGGAAGAAGTGTTCATTTAAAGGGATGTCATTCAACACACAAATGGTGGTCAGGCGATGGTAGTGGGATTCGAGCACACATCCCAGGATTCATTGATTTGGTGACGTTATGACCGGGTCAACGCCACTCAAACATATAAGATGAATAGGTGAAACGTGAAATAGATTATTGATTTGAGTTTTTATAATTTTATCTAGATGATTGTTTTGTATTTGGATGAGTGTGATCCTAAATCGACGGAATTATTGAGACGGGAGGAAATTGTTCATCGTGTCCAATGCACCGATTCCAAATGACATAGCTATATCACTAAATTAGATGCGGACCGGATTTAGGAGTATTGAACTTTGATTACTCCTTTATAAAACCTGTGTTGGTATGATAGTTATATTAAAAGGCGTTCGGGAACAAAACCCGGCAATAGAATAACCACTACAGGAAAATGGCAAAGAGATAAGTAGAATACATGGCTACATACCAGCTAGCGATGAAGAAGACGGCAACCGGCAACTAGATTCCTCGAATCTGAAATTACGTATCATAACAGGTCCGGAGCGAGTTTGTGTGACCTATATAACCGGAAAATAGCGGATATTCCACCAACGTTCAGTGATGGTGGAAGGATTTTGAATGCCCTAATTTTATCGATTAAAGAAACATTATTGATACCAAAAGAACAGAGATGAAATCTGTGGTCCTTGAAATCTAATGGACTATGGAATTATGAATGTTGTTTGATTATATTTTATGGATGCTGGGCTCGGACCAGTCAGTCCTCTGGTTTGACAGATATTACGAAACAACATATTGCAGATAAGGAGGTAATTAGTGTAAACGAAGTAAAAGTTGACTTAGCAATCATCGTATTATGAATTTTAGGATGAAATACCATTTGCATTGAAACCCTTAGTTTTCTTAACGTTTTGAATGTTTCACTTTGAATGTTTGAAACTCAGTCTATCCAATACGGGTTCATAATTGCCATTTATCGTTCCTCTCACAGCTGACAACTCAAAATGTGAGTACCGATAAGCTAGACTGTACATTTTTCATGAAAACGTATCACAAACCAAAAACAATTATTGTTTTTACATTCAAAGTACAACACAAAGGCACATTCGTGTTTAAGATGCACCTAGTAGCGCATATCTCACGGCGTTGCTTTCAATATCTATCTATCTATCAATCAATCTATCGATCTATTATTTTGTCTATTTATCTATCTATCTATTTTTTCTGTCTGTCTGTCTGTCTGTCTGTCTGTCTATTCTGTCTGTCTGTCTGTCTGTCTGTCTGTCTGTCTGTCTGTCTGTCTGTCTGTCTGTCTGTTTGTTCATATATCTAGCTATCTATCGGTTGCAAGACACGTTTCAAAAGAGTCAAGACGACCTAGCACCAGAACCGTTAAGGTAAAAAGAGAAACATCATTTCTAACAAGTATTCCTTTGCAACGGCTAAATTTCCGACGTCGTCAAACGCACGAATTTGTGACCCAGTAAGCGTATGTGAAGAACCTTCTGTGATGACCATGATAATACTGAAGTCACCCAAAATTCAGGTTTCTCGGAGGCAACAACAACTCTATAAAGAAATAAATCCAAAAGAACAAAGCAATGGGTAAAAGGTAATAATGGAAACCTTGATCAACCAAATGACCTTCAAAAATGCGCTAGTGACAATAATCTAAACCGTTTGGGCATCACACATTCAAGTGTCCTTTTAGAGATTGTAGTTCAACATAATGAATATTGTTTCCTTGTCGCAGTTTGCTTTACCCCAGGCTTTTAAGTCAGCTGTAGGTTTGATATTCTTTGCCTTCTTCCAAACAAGTGTATCAGATAATCTAACTATTCAGAATAAAACCGTTATCTTGTTCAAAACATGATGCCAACCCCGTATTTCACCCTGTGTCATAGGACTGCTTACATTACCAAACTAACATGAGGGAGGACGTCTCCACTTTTATGTGACTGATTCTCAACATTGATCAACTTGAATAGTTTTCCTTTAAGAATTTTATAAAAGTCATTTGACTGAAAGTGATCGATACAAATCGCAAGTTCAAAAGGCCACGAGCGAATGATCACAGGATGTGTTGCATTGTGCTCATTGGTCTCTTCTTGGTTTCAGTGCCCAGTGGTCCAGTTTTTCCCGTATGCAACGAATTGAAGAAAGAGAAGACAGGTGAGATTTACATGCATGTGTTTTACGCGCGCAGGTTGCCTTCTGATGGTACTCATTTATTTTATTTCTGTTGTTTTACTGAATGCATCACATGAGTGCGGATAAATTAATAAGCAACAGAAGCAAAAAGTAACGGGCCTTAAGACGTCTCCAAAACAGTTTATGTTCATTGGGGCATCCAATTGATTGATGAGTGTCAAAGCGGGCCGGTTTTATTCCGCTTCCTTGAAAAATATTGTACGATTCCTGTGAAATCCAGTTGTATGTCACAAACCACACAAAGAGTTTAACAGCACTTATCCTGTAATCCGGATTGGACTCGGTTGATTTGAGCTCACTCCCTCAATCAAGGCGTTTCTACCAGGGAGAAGAGTTTCTCTCTTTCCGTCAAGTCTTTGGAGAGCCCGGAATCGGAGAACATGTTAACAGTTGCAAAAGGCAAGCAACGGCACGTCCCATGGTCTTCCATGTACTATTTGATTTAGTCACTTAAACTTGCGTGTAGATTGCCATTATCTACAATTGGATAGCCAATTTGCTCAAAAATTTTAGAAGAGCATTTGTTAGACACCTGAAAGCTTCTTGATGCTAGGGGAAACAGTTCATCGAACCTTCCAAAAGCTCCAAAGGTTGCTCTCGTGCACTGGTTCTTCTGAATTACACGCTCAAACGGATGGTATTGGTTTATCGGTGCTCCAACCCTATCAGTTTTATTACCACAAAACTGGTGATAAACGTGTTAAAAACCAGATTCTTCCCGACCGCATCGCCCGGAACGTCTCATCTAGGTTGATGGTCGGTGATTCATTGGACGTCAACGATGCACTCACAATCTGTCTGTAACTGTGTGTAGTGCAGTGAGATAAGCTCGTGAACCACACATGCTATAGTACTTTGGGCTGCCATTCCTCCTGCTTTCCTATGGGTCTATGGACTTGGTGTGGTGAGGACAGCCACACGCGGAATGGTTAAACCGTTTGAACCTCTCCATTGAAGTTGGAAAGGTATATAACGATAGTGATAAATCGACCACATTTTTCTAGTAACGAATACCTCTATCGATTCGGCCGTTTTGCGGCTACCAGTGGAGACTATTTTTGAACCACTGCTCCGTCCAAGGTCTTCAGCACGGTAGAATCGCTGGAGTTTAGAATTGGTATTGGCCCTCGGGAATGAGACAGCCGGTGAGTTTTCGAATTTGTGCATACTACAGTACACTGACAGTTGTCATACAGGAAGTAGATTCTGCTCTGTACCGAGACTAGTCGAGTAAAAGTAAACGTGACAGAAGAAAAAAAGCAATTAATCTGATGATGGTCATCAACTGAACATGTGCGTAAAAGGAGTTTTAGTGTGACCTGCAAATCAACCTCCAAACGTCGACCTTGTGGTGTGCGGCTGGTTGAATAAGCGTTATTGTCCATGCCCAAACCGGATGAAAGCCTCCAGATAATTTCCTAGATGAACTCCATCTCACATATTAGATCGAGGTTCATCAAACATTATTTTTTGATCTCGGTGTAGATATTGTTTCCACAATCATACATTTTCTGGAATGGCATGTTTTCAAGACGAACTGATTCAACTGTCAAGCAACAGCCCCGGATACGAATGTAGTGGAAAACACCTAAGTGTGTTCAAGACAGAACTGTGCAATAGCTACCCCGAAATAGGTCATTCGAGACCATAGGGTGGANTGGATCGTTTCGGAAGAAATTGATGGTCAACTTAATGGATCCCACACTACAACGAACAATCTAAGCGAATCGGGACACACCTGATATCGATATAATTCAAAATGTGTCTCACATAATAATCGGTTTTACTCATATTTTTTATGACTTTCCATACTAAGGAATCGTTATAACACAACCGAAGCTCAACGAAATGTCATCCAAGTTGTACATGCAAGTGCTATCCAACTAATGGTAAAAGCGACGCAAATTAGCACTGCTCTATCCGAAGTGAGCTAATATCATAATAAGATTCTCGGCTAGGGCTCAAAACGCTGACCATTGGGAGGAAGAGATCCGGAGAATTTCAGAGCATCTTACGAATTTGATTACCACTTGTGCATAACAAAATTGTTGTATGTTGCTTTTCGTTATCAACATACTGCATGCATAATTGCCGGATGGATGAACTGCACCGTGGTCAAATTCGCTTTGACGTGAAACATGCGGAGTGCAGTATGATCTTCCAGTGGAGCTGTTCGAGTTGATTAGGTAACTTTATTGAAAACAGGCACATGTTATCAGATCCCAGAGACGATACCTTTTGGCTGTGACGACTGATCGAACCTGATATGAATGGTTCAAGTTTATTTTGATAATATAACTCTGTATAACGTCGTAGAACTATGCCCTACTGACTGCGTTTTGATTGCTTCTTTTTTTTTGTAAACAGCACCAGATGCATTGGGTTTGACCAAATCGCGCGGTAAGTACAATTGGAGTGGGTGCAAAAATATTTAGTTCTACCACTAAGTCCCAGACGGTTCTCTGTGCCAATTCGTTCCGTAGTACCTCTTCTCAAATGATGGGGGTTCTTTTAGCCGTTAATTGTTCTACCTGACACTAGAAGACCCCGAAATATCATTGTCATTCCGGTCAAATATTATTTCCACTTTTTGAATAATACAATACCGAAAAAAGAGCACTATGCTTGCTGAATACGCGGCTTAGTAGTGTGTAAAGGTAAAATAATGTTTTTCATGTGTGTGAAAGTTTTTTTCACGAACCACTATAATGATTCAAATCCTGGAAACGTAAATTTGGGCCGACCACTAGCAATGGTCACTATTGTCAGTATCACCACCGTCAGCCTCAGTGCTTCTGTCATATATCCATTATATTATTGTACACATAATCATTTAAGTTTTTGGTACTTCTATTTACCAGTGTTTGAAGTGAAGATCAATACAAAAAAGAATTCGACTGCGACGGATAAAACCAGCCGGGTGCCTTCGTTTTCTGATATCTATGACATTTGGCAACCAGCCTGTAGTGAGGTGAGTTGCTTTGGATCTCACATCATTCCCTCACCGTGTTACCCATTTCTGAAAAATGCTAGCAACTAGTTCAACCCATTGTGGTTTTTTTCGGAGTAGAAGGTGTCCAACCGTGTCGGATATTGTCAAATACAATTTTACATTCAAAACAACCTCAACATCTACTCAATTTCAATGATTGAGGATTCCGTCAGTAGTTCCCTAAGACATTGCATTGTTACGGTGTGTGCGTGTGTGTGTGTGGGTGGGTACGTGAATCAGACGTATGAACTGAATCCGTGAGATGGAAATGTTTGTGATAACTGACAAAGAGCACTAGACAGCTGTTTCGCCCTGTGTAATGGACAACCTTGCAGTATGACAACCGGATGTTGTCGGTTGAGTCCTATTCATATTTACTAATTGAGTAAAAATGAGTATAATGGCACGATTTCAGTAATCCAGACTACAATCTGAGAGGCAAGCTACCCAGAAAGATATTTATCCAGTACTTGAAGGCGCATGTCGATTTTTTATAGAATATATCCTATAAAAATAGCGATGTTTTTCTCTCCGATGGTCGGCGAAAAGCAAGCAAAATATATTCTGAAGTGTTCCAGTACCATGTTTATAGTTCTATTCAAAATTTGGATTTTCGTAAATTTCTCAGAAAGCCACAGTCAATGTACAACAGTTTCAGTTTTAGAATATTCAGTTTACCCAGGTTTTCTCTTGCTTGTCGTTACTCAAGCCAGAAAAAGGCATTTTAGTTGATGCTCAAATACTTGAATGTGAACTTTAGTAGTCATTCATTGTAAAAGATAACTAATGAAATATGTTGATTGATAACCAGAATTAGTTCACAAATTGTACTCTGTTATATGCGTTGAGGTGATTTCTATCATCATTCTCGACCATAGCTCAGTTTAGCTTCAGTTTCTACAGCAATTGACCACGCACTTTTGTGCTCCGGTTTTGGTTACCGTCTTCTGGCTATCCGTTTAAATGAAGGGATAAAAACAAGATTGGAAAGTTGAGAGCAGACCTAAAAAGAAAACGGAGAAGTTCAATAGACTAAAGATGCAAAGAAGTGGAGAAGATGCACTAGTGGCACTGTTGACAACATTCAACCACACCATTCAGTATCTCTGATCACCGGTCACCAGGATCTCGGTGTTCCCATTCAGGGAGGCTATCCTGAACTTCATGACCGAGGTTCGTGGTCAGGATTTTCATAACCTCATAAAATGGCTTGCGTTTGACTGCCTTTGGTCTTTTATTTATACACCAGCTGCCGCTGAAAAAATCGCGCCTTGAAAAAATATTTTTGACGACGACGTAACACATCCCTCAAACAAAGCAATCTATGGAGGTTGACCGCTTTATTCAGTGGATGATCGCGATTACCAGATACTCTCCGCTAGACTTCAGCATTGCTTTTCCGGTTTCTACACCAGATTCATTCAATGTGACATAGGAAGCGGTATTTTATCACTAACAGTTCATCTTTATTCAGTTTTTTTTAATTAGGGCCAATTATCGGCGCTGTGTAGCAGAACTGACTGAACTGTTGCATCATAACCTGGACCCTTCGTGAACAACCGAGTATAGAGACACGACTACAGATGTCTTGAGCTGAAAATTATCAGTCATCGAGTATAAGTTAAAACTCACAGGGAATTCAAAGGAAAGTTCGAGTTGGTGCAATGTATTAATGTACACCAAATGCCGCACTCGCTAATCTAATTTTCTGTCCGTTTGTCTAACAGATTCCTCTAAACTAACACTGAATGGCATGCGCTTTGTTTGTCTTTCAACCGTAATAGATGTTTCAATTGATCAAGAAGGTTTCCGATCCACTGAGACAAAGTATTTTGGGCTGTAGCAATCTCACTTCCGAGGACGGCTCACTTACACTCTTCATCCATGTTCATGAAGCTGCTTTGGATTTCAGCCCGGAAACGTTTACACAGTGCAACAACGAGAATTTCAACCGGCTTCTTAACAAATGGAAGCTTGAGATTGAAAAATTCTATCAACTTTCCGGTCCGGATGTTTCAGTGTCACGTAAGTCTCTGGTTTTCACCGTGTCTTAAACGCACACACACACACAAACCACCGACAGAACAACCGAGTCGTAACGCTGTTCTGTTTGTTCTCGAATACCGTAATAGTTTGCCAACAGGATTCCTATTGTAATCGGGAATATCGTTACTGGAATGTTTATAAGGTGTGACTCTTAGATACGATTTTGTCACAATGCATTCAGTTGACAGAGGGAATTTTGAAATGCGATCCGGTTTATGTTTTCCAGGGGAATTTTGCAACCTTAGGCTGAAAGTTATTCATTGTGACGGTTACCGGAAGAATGCGTGTGCAAGTGGTTGACTACATTCAGGGTTTTGATCAGCTTCATTGAAAGTTCACTCCTTTCAGATAAGAAGACTGATCCACTTCTGTTGTGATTTGTCGGTGATAGACGCTTTTGTTCCACAGGGTGTTCTTTCTATACCCTTTTACTGATCCCCTGCAATTCCCCCTGGTCTCCCGAAGGCTGTTTTCAAGTTGACCTGTGTGCATGCAAATCCCACATTTCTCCACCCGTTTCAAGTTGAAACACTCTGTCTCGCCTATCTGCATAAAGAAACTCCTTGG